TGCTATATATTTAGATTTTTAAATAAAACGATTAAAGTAAAGATTAATTTATAAACTAAGATTAACTATAAGAATATTACTTTTCTAATTATAATCCTTATTAATGATCTTAAGTTAATCTACAAGAACCCTGTTTATTAAAAAAGGTTATTATTAAGCTGTTGATACTTTATTAAAAAAATTAAATAGTTAACAATCTTCTTATGAAAATTAATAATCTGTTAAATAAGATTAGCAGTTATAGTTAAAAGAATATAAATAAAAAAATCTTTTATATTAAGTCTTAAATAATAATGTTTATTAACAGATAATAAGTATTAAATGAAAAGTTAATTTTAAAGACTTCTACTAATAGATTAATTAAGTAATAAATCAGTTAATAGAGTAATTAACTCTTAAAACAATCTAAATAAATACATTTACTAAGAAAGTAAGTTTAAATGATTTAGTATTATAAACTAAAAATTAATTATGATAATACTGAATTTAGTTAATAAATTTAGTAACCGTTAAAAAAAGTTCTAAATTAATATAAAAAATAAAAATTTTATTTTTATTATAAAGTCTTAAATTATTGTAATATTAAATATTTTTTCTTATCTTTGTAATCTTTGCGATACTCTCTAAATAAAAGTTTTTAGAAAATAAGATTTTTTAAATCTTATTTAAATATGATTTTATAAAAAAAACCAGTTAAAAAGTCTTAATAATTCTGTAAGTTTCTTTAAAAAAAGTAGAATTTTTTTTATTCCTATTCAAAAAACTTTGAAAATAAAGTATAAGAATTCAAAAATCATTAGATCTTCTTTATATTGAGATTAATTAATAAAATTTATGTGAATATTTTAATTAATACTAGCTGTATACTGCATAGAATGATTAACTAGAATTCATAATTAAATATAAATTGAAATATATATTACCTAAATTATATAATATTAGTAAAAATCTATAAATATATATATATCTGTATATTTTATTATATATTTATAAGTATAATATTTTAGATTAAGAACTTAACTTTTCATATTCAGAATATGGAGATTGAAATCTAATATAAATAAAAATAAAACTAAATCTTAATATTTTATAAAATTTATATTAATATATAATATATATAAAAAAACCAGAAAAAGAAAGAAGAATTCATAAAGCTATGTATAATAAGCTTAATGAATATTAATAAAATCTATTATAAACTAGTTAATTAAAAAGTCTAACAAAAATTAGATATAAATTATGTAAATCTTACTATAAATATTTAAATATCTTTAATATTATAGTAAATATCCTGCTTTTTTTATCTTTATATTAATTATATTATCAAATTAATTAGATATATAAAAAACAAGAAGTAAATACTTTTCTAAGAATTTCTGTACTAGATAAACTAATTGAAACTTTTAATATTATAAAAGGTTTTAATTAATTTATTAAAAAGGAGATTTATATATATTAATAACTTTTTAATAATTATCTCTATATTATTTATCTTAAAATCAGATAAGAACTTATATTTTTATATAGATTATTAAACACTTAATTAAATAAATATAAAAAACTATTATTCATTGTTTTTAATTTAGAAAACCCTGCAATGCATTTTCAAGATTTATTATTTTATTAAATTAAATATACTTTGAGTCTTTTACTGTATATAGATTAAGAAAGATAATAGATAGAAAACTATTTTTTATATCTGTTTTAAACTGTATAAATAACTAGTAGCCCTATTCAGTCTTACTAATTATTTGAATATCTTTTAATAATATATTAATTCGATCTTATAAGAATTTGTTAATAGATTTTACTCTGTATATAAAAATAATATCCTTATCTTTGTAAATAATAAATTAATCTAATATTAAGTTTAAATATAATAAATTTTAAAGTATTTATACAGTACAGATCTTTAAGCAAATATTAAGAAATATAAATTTAAAATTATCTTTATTAAGTATTTAAGATTTATTATTAAAATAAAGAGTAGAATTTATATAAATTCTACTAAAATCTAGATTGTAAAAAATTAAAAAATCTTAAAAACTATTCGTGATATGTAAACCTTTTTAAGGTTTATTAACTTTTATTAATAATGTTTTGAATATTAAGAAACTTACTTAGAGTCCTTAATATAATTTGTAAAAAAAATATTAAGTTTAACTAGATTTCAGAGATATAAATAGTTTTCAAAACTTTTAAAAAAAATTCATTACAGTTTTAGTTCTAATATATTAGAACTGTGAATAAAAAATACTTTTAAAAGTAGATATATCTAGATAATACACAGAGAAGATCCTGCCTTAATAAAATAATAAAAACATCTTTTAATTTATAATCTATTTTTTAGAGAAAAACTTACTAGCAGAATATTATTATTAAATAAATTATAATAAAAAATTACTAGTCATTATGTAAATTTTACAGAAATAAAAAATTAGAACCAATTATTTTCTCTTATTTTAAGATTCTTAATAATTACCACAACTTAGAATACTTTATAATTTAGTAATAACCTTCTAAATAGTAAATATATTAAGTCTAATTTTTAAGCTGCTTTAATTTTATAATTAATTATTATTTAAAGATAATAAATATTAAATTCAATATCTTCTTCTGGAAAGTGCAGGATATATTTAAAAATAAATAAATACATTATAAATTATAAGATTTAGCTGATTATTTTATTTAATATTAAAAAAAGCTTGCCTGTATAATACTTATTAAAAATAACTTTTATAAAGAAAAATCTGGAGAACTAGCCCTATACAAGATATAGATAAAAATTTAAAAGTTAATAAAAAATTTAAGAAGTATTAAAAAATTATAATTAAAAATCAGTCTAAATTTTGTAAATATTCAAAACTGAAGATTTTTCTTATAGAATATCAATTAAATATTCATAAGTAGCTATTCTATTAAAAACAAATTTAAATCTTTAATTTAAAGTTTCTATAAATCTGCATTATTTAAGAAGCTCATAATAGTATAATTACTGAATATTCTAGATAAGATTAAGTAATATTAAATCATTACTTATTACTATTATTAGTTAGATATAAGTAAGAATATTTATTACTTTTATTAAAATTATAATAATTGTAAAATTAATAATATTTAATGAAACTATAAATAGAACTTATTTAAACTATTATTAGTTCTAGACTAATCCTGACAAGATATTATAATTAACTTTCTTATAAATTTCTCTAAATTTTATGATTATAAAAATATTATAACTATTACTGATTAATTAATAAAAAGAATTATTATTAAAACTATATCTAATATAAATATAAAAGACTTTATAAATATCTTTATTAGAATTCTTTACAGTAATTATAGAATACTGCAGTTTATAGTCTTTAATTAAGATTTATAATTTATAAGTAAGTTTTAAATTATATTTTGAAGATTAAGAAATAATCTTTTTATAATTTATTATTTAACAATAAACAGTGCTACGGAGCGCTCAATTATAATTATTAAAATATTCTTATAATACGTTATTAATTATTAATAAATTAATTAATAAAAATTACTATTTATAATTTAATTAGTTTTTGATTTCCAGAAATCTGTGTCCACGGGGGTTAGTCTTTTTTTTATAATATAATCTTTATATAGAGTTTTAAATCTAATAATTAAAATTAATATTTAAAAAAATTATTAAGTTAAAAGTCTTTAAGAATAGGCTGAAATTATTTTTAATAAGCTTCAGAAAGCTTTTAATATTACTAGCTTAATAATAATAATTATCTAAAAAGTATAAAATTAATACATTAATTAATAATAAAACTTAACACTCTGCTACAAAGATAATAATAAAGTCTGGCTAGACTTAAAGAATATTACTAATAATTATTTTAATAAATAGTAATGTTAATATAATATAGAATTTACAGTATTTAAGTAAATCAGAATATATACTTATAAATTAAATATATTGACTAAATTTATTTTATATTTTATATTAATTCACTTCATTCAGCCTGCTACTTACAGATCCTCTATTAATATTAGATATTATTAATTAATAACTTAATATTATAGTTATTCTAAATAATATTATAAAATAAAAAGTTGAGAAGATTTTTATAATTACTTTATTAAGTCTTTTCTTTACATAAATAGCAGAGATTCCATGCAATAATTTAATAATTATTTAATATTGTAGTCTTATTTTTTATGAAGATTGTCTTCATATTTTATATATATATATATAATAGTTTTTTTATTATATAGTTATATTAACAGGCCTTCTTATTTTTAGATAGATTATTATAATATTATATATTTATTATTTTTTAAGCTGTTATAAAGATGGTAGCATATTTACAAGTTAATTCTAGATCTTTATTACTATTTATTTAATAATATACTATTATCTTATCTATTTCTTATATCTATCTATTTTTCTGTTACTTTATTATTTTACTAATTTTAAGTATCTGAAAGTCTCAGTAATTAAATATTGTTATTAAATATATTTTTCGTATTATCTTTTTGCTTTGTTTCATTGATTTTAGTATTTATTTTATTGTCTCTATTTTCTCTACATCTTTCTTTTCTATTATTAAAGAATCTTAGTGTTTATTTTATATTATTAAGATATAATCTTTAAATTGCTGAACTTATTAAATTAAATTTATTTTGTTTTTTTTCTGATTCTTCTTATATTATAAAATTTAATTAAAATACTTTATATTATATAGACTATATCCTTATTAAATTATATATTTAAGAACCTGTTTTTAGTAACGACTGTTTTTATCTCCCTGACTAGGATATTAATGAAAGTATTTTTAATAAGATTATTAAGAAATTTCTATATCTGATTAACTTTATTATATACTTTATTAAAAATTTATAGTAGATTTCTGTATATTTTACTAATATAGTTTCTTCTAATTCTCTTTATCTATTTAATTATTTAAGATTTATTTCTTAATTAAGATTTATAAAATATTAGTTTATCTATAAACTATAATTACTTCTAAATTTATAAATCTTATATTAATCCTTTTTTTATATCTTTCAAAGACCAGATACTGATTTTGAATACTCTTCAATTATTTCAAGCTGAGATTATTATTTTTAATATAATTACTCTAGAAGAAATAATATTTATTCCAGTTATTATATTTTTAATAAATACTTTTGAATTTTTATATTTTTCTCAGTTATATAATTTTATTTTCCTTTATTTACTAAAAGTATTCAATCTCAAACTTTATAGATTAAATATATATTAAGTGCTGCGTACAGACTTCTTATTTAATATTATATTTATTAATTTTACTACTACTTTATTATGTAGTCTCAGAATAACTTATCTATCCTATTACTAACTTTATAATTAACTTATAATAATATATTCAATACTATAATTAGTATATTCTTGATTTAAGTCTTATTTAGCTATATATCTAACTTTTATTTATAAATCAATAATGTTTTGTTATAAAAAGAGATTCCAGTAATTTAAAACTATAGTTTTTAGTTGTATTAGATCTGTAAAATCATAAAGAATATATAAAAATTAATTATTAAATATTAAAAGAAATATGATAATTAATTATATAAATTTTCTATATTTAAAATTGAAGATCTTATTAAGTTATCTACTTATTATTTAAGATTAAAGATATTCAATAAGCTGGTATTAAACTTTATTAGATCTTTCCAAATTTTAATTATTATCAATATCTAAGTATATCACTTGTATTTATTTAATAAATATAATTAAATATATAATATATTCTATGTTACTTTACTTAAATTATAGAGTAAGAGAGATTTTAATACTCAAACTTTACTAATATTTAATTTAGATGATAATAATAAATAGAAAATTAAAGAAATTAAGATTTATTAGAAGTATGAAGGCTTCAACTACTATTTAATTAAATAAAAAGATTGATTATTAGAATATAATTAATAAATCCTAAGTAAAAATATGTTTAATATTTTTAAGATTATCTAGAAATACTGGGATAAATAAAAGAGATTAAGAAAAATTTTAAAATTCTATTAGAATATTACAGAACTGTAAGGGTTATATAATATATTTATTAATAATATTATTATATTTATAAAATTATTCTATTATTAAGATTATAATTATATATAAAGTAATTAGCTTAAATTATATAAAATATATGAAACTTATTACAGATAACAGATTATATTTAAATGATTTATAATTATTTATTTAAAGTTATACTGATAAGCCCTGAGTATTAGATCTCTAAATAATTATTAAATTATGAAAATATAGAGAAAAAAGATATTAATAACTATTTAAGCTTTTTTAAAACTTACTAGTTTCTTTTTCTTATCTTATATATTTTTATTCTGTTATTATCTGCAGAGATAACTGAAATAATAAAAAATTATTTTTGATATATAGAGATAACTTTATTCTCGATTACAGTTATTTCTGTAATTTAAGAAGTATAATCAGTATTGCCGGATAATAAATAACATAAAGTCTGTTATTTATACAAATATACTTTATCTGTTAAAGTATTTGTATTAGAGTATAGAAACTATTAAGTAATAATATTTTTATATAAAGCTAGATAAGATTAGTAAGAGTAAAGATTAATCTAGATTAGTAATAGCTAAATATTATTAAAATTAGTTATTCTTAATATATATTCTTTAGTTCATTTAAGTTTTAAAGTTATAGCATGGGCGGTCTTAATATTTTTAAATTCTTATTAAATTGAAATTAATAATATATAGTTTAATATAACTATCTAGAAATAATTTATTCAGTTTGAGTATATTAGGAATTTATTTAAGAATCTTGAATATATTAATAAATAATATATATATATAAGGAATAGAAGTACTTACTGGAATATATGTTTTATTTCTAGTAAAATAATACTTATATAAAATAAATATTTTACTTTTATTAGTTTTCTTTATTTAATACTGTATTTTTTAAAATCAGATCTTAAACAGTATATAGAATAAGTGGGATAGATAAATAATTATATTATAAGTTATATAATATTTCTTAATAGTCTTTTTAAGAGTGTGTGGTATAATAGATATCTAATTAATAAAATAAT